TGTGTGTGTGTGTGTGTGTGTGTGTGTGTGTGTGTGTTTTCACTTTTAGAGCAAGGGACCTATTCACATTGATGAATTGATTTGTGGATTTACAATGTTGGTTGAATTTTCTAGTCCACATTTGAAAAAGTTTTATTATCTTTCCTTTTAAGATTTTTTTATAAACTCAAAAATATGTTAAGCCAAGTACTGATCAACTATAGGAAAATTGAGAATTGTATTTGAAAGTTTTGACTCTGGAATCCAAATGATCATCTGCTGAGGTCTAGTTATATTCAAAAACAAAGTGAAACAAAACAAAAATTGTCTTAGCATGAGGATATTTGGAAGATCAGGTTTCAACATTTTATTCTATCTTCCTGATAAAAAATAAAATAAATAGATAAATAAATAAATAAATAAATAAATAAATAAATAAAATTCCATAATTTAAAAATGCATAAAGGAAACAAAAAATTTAACATATGTTTGTATGTACATACTATATTTACAACATTTCTACCACTGCCTTTTCAGCCTTTCAAGGTTAAGCATCACCCATGTCCCCAATCTTTGGTTCAAATCCATGGTCTATTCTGTCCTACAAACACACACACATGAACACACACACACACATACACACACAAACACACACACATACCCTACTTAGTCCTTTTAGTGTTGACCATATATATAGGTGTTTAAGACTGACTATTTGGGAATGAGTAACCTATGAGGGGGTTGGTTCATGGAAAAGACTGATTCTTCTCTTTGTCAGGAACTATTAATTGCTTGTAACTCTTCATCGAAAGGTGAAACTTTGTGAGATTTTCCCCTTTTACATAACCATGTCAACCTGTGTTGTTATTATTCTAGTCTTACTTAAGTGACTATATTGTTGAAGTTTCATGGGTCCAGCTATACTGTTATATAGAAAACATCATCTCATAGCTGTAATCCTGGTCCTCTGGCTCCTACAGTTTTATCACCCATATGTAATGAAAATTTTTGCTTCTTTAAAATCTCAGTGATGTTATGTGAATAAGTTTTTAATACCAGGTGCAGGATATAGGGTTCTTCAGATGGTCCACAACCACTAACTATGATTTGTCTCTTGCTCTAAGAGGGGTGTAAGTTTTGCCACTTGCAGATATTTTATGTTTTAAATTCTGGGGACTCTTGTGTTATCATGGCCTTTGCCATCTGTAACCTTGGGGTTTTCCATTTGTCCATTTTTCCCCAAAATAATGACTCTGAAACTTCTTACATATTCTCAAATGCCTAGACCAAAGCTTTATGTCTGTCCTACTAGATCATAACTTAATGATCCATTATTTTATTCTATGTTCTGCCAAATGGATGGTTACCTAGTCCCCAGTTGCAAGTGACTATCTGTCTTCCTCTGTCTGGGGTGAATCCACTCCTGCACCTGTCTCTCCCTCAGAATCCTCCGTGTACCAGAACTTCCACCTCCATATTTTCTGCCTAAGCTAATAGGACAACAGCAGTTTTATTGGCATGTTATTCTTCCATACAGGACAAAAGAATCTTTCTACACTCCAGAGAAGGTATAAATGTGAGATCCCTGAAAGGGCATGTAGTGGTTGTTGCTCTGCCTGCTACTGCCCCTGCTGCTGCTTGTTCCTGCTGCTATTTTTGTTATTGCTGGATTTATGGGTTGTTGGATTGCTGAATTTCTAGATTTCTGGATTGTTGGGTTGCTGTTTGCTGAATTGCTGGTTGCTAGTGGGAGATATTCTGACAATAAAGATTGTACTTGCCCCCAAGGAACTTGATACCCTAATCAGCAGGAAATAGTCAAAAGAAGTCTATAGGCCCTTTCCCCAATAGCCTTCTTTCTCTCCTTCCTAGTGTTTAGGATTGGAAGGGATTAGGATGGAATAAGATTAAGAAGGGTGATAGGTAAAAGAACCCAATAAATCGGCCCCAAATTGTGAGCCTACACCTATATTCTGTGATATTCCTTATGCCATAGGTATAGGAGTTATTTTGTAGATGTATTAATCAGATCTGTGTACCCCACCATTCTCTGATTCTCTGCATTTTGGTGTACTGAGAATTTCTGTAGTATTATCCATATGCTTCGAAAAGTAGTCTTTGATAATAGGTGAGAGCTACACCTTTCTGTAGATAAAAGAATACATCTAAGAATGTAGTTAGAAATTATACTGGTTTAGGAAAATGGCAGCAGTTGTAGGATTTTTTTTAAACAAGGTTTCCCTGTGTTACATTCCTTTGTAACTAGAACTGTGAACTCCTAGAACTCACTTTGTAGAGCAGGTTAGCCTCAAACTTGAAGACATCTATCTGCTTCTGCCTCCCAAGGGCTGGGATTAACTATGTGCACCACCCCACCTGGTTCAGTATAAGGTCTCAAGGATAAATTTAAGTATGCAGTGGATAAAAAAATTATAAAATAAAAAAGAATATTTAATTGAAAACTTTAAAGCTTATGAATAAAATCACATACAAAGTCTCACTTCATTTAAAGAATAAGAAAACTTAGAATCACTCAGAGAAAGAATGAAATAATATGAAAGAAGAGTCAACTACTAAGCTGAAAGAAATTATCTTAACAACCATTTAGCAGTAATGGAAATCATTCACATTTCTGAAGGGGAACAGTTGATGAGTCACCACTGAAGTCATATATAAAATGAGAACTTTTTTCAGGTATGCTGAAAAAAAGTTAACCCACAGAAAAAAAATGTGTTTGTGTGTTTGGGGGAATTTAGAGGACTTCTCTGAGCAAAGCTCTCATGTTTTGGTTCTTAATTCTCTTCCCAGAAGTGTTCACAGTGACTGGACTAAAGGAAACAATTGTGGCTCCGGTTGGTACAATGCTTGAGCTCAGCTGTCAGTTGTCTCCACCACAAAATGCCCAGCACATGGAGATTCGCTGGTTCCGGTCCCACTATACACAACCTATTTATCTCTATGAGGATGGCAAAGACATGTTTGGAAAAATTATCCCCAAATATGTGGAGAGAACAGAACTCTTGAAGGATGCCATTGGAGAAGGGAAAGTGACCCTCAGGATCTTTAATGTCAATCCTGATGATGATGGGCAATATCATTGCATCTTCAAAAATGGCAAGTTCTATGAAGAGCACATCACAGAAGTCAAGGTTACAGGTAACCATAGATTCCTCTGAGAGCAATTTCTAAATTCATTCACTGAATTACATATAAGAAAAAAGGTTACTCATAAATTCTACAAGGAATTGAATCTTATATGGTTTTGTTGATTTTTATAGTCTAAAGATTTAACTCAGCAGTTTCGATTAATAAAAAGCAAATATTTTACTGAAAGAAAACTAAATGAGATAAAGAAAACTTTCCTCACCTGAATTATTTAGAACAAGTTGTTAATTGAATTTTTGTCTCCCTACCTTCCTACCTGGTGCTTTCTCTTTTAATTGATTTATTCTATCATTTGGAGACCAACAGAGTTTTGACAATCTTTATATCTGCAGACACTGGAGTTAACATGGAGGAGGAGTGGTTCTTTTTCTCTTTCCATTCACTGTGTGCTACTGGTTTCTCTTTGTTTACAACCAGCTGGGAACTCCCGGGTTCAAATTCTTGTTCATCCTCCTACTACCAAAGGTGTAATTGTGGAGTGTCACTCAGGAGGTTGGTTCCCACGGCCTCACTTGGAATGGAGAGACAGCAGAGGAGAGGTCATTCCAGCTGCATCAAAATCTCATTCACAGAACAGAGACAAACTGTTCAATATGAAGATAACCCTTCTCCTTAGAGACAGCTCCTTCAGGAATGTTACCTGTTGCCTTTGGAACCCCCTAACAGGCCAAAAGGAAAGCACAAGCATTGTTCTACCAGGTATAATTCATGTATTCACTCTTGAAATAATAATCATTTTATGTAATTTAGACTTGAAACAAATCTTACATGATTTCTTCACTTGGTTTTAGGCCATTAATTTCCCTTCATTTTATTTATCATCTGATCTGTTGTCCAATTAATTGCCTTTGCTAGATTCATTTCTTTCATCATTTTCCTAATATTGGAGATTTTAGTGTACAAAATTCTGGGTTTTGTCCTAAAGTGTTGCTTGATGTTTTTTGATCTTTAGCTATATTGATGCTCATTTTTAAAATGTTTTATCAATAGTATTTATTGTAAAAGAATACAAATGGCTAAGAAACGCATAAGAAAATGTTCAACATCTTTAGCCATTGAGGAAATGTAGATTAAAACACCTTTGAGATCTCATGTCAGTCAGAATGGCTAAAGAAAAATATGACAAATGCTAGTGTGGCTGTGGAGAAGGGGGAATTATTATTACTGGTGGTAAAAAATGCAAACTGGTAAAATCACTGTAGAAATCAGTGTGAAAATTACAAAAAAGCTAAAACTAGATGTGTCATATTATTCACTCTTGGGTATATATCCCAAAGAATATGCATCTTACTATAGACTTACTTGCACATGTTCATTGCTGGTTTTTTCCCACAATATCCAGGAAATAGTCAGAAATAACCTAGATTTCTATCAATCGAAGAATGGATATTGAAAAAAATTATTTATATAATGGGATATTATTTAGCCATTATAAAAAATAAAACAAAGTTGTTTTTGTTACTAAGACTGCAGTATAATTGGAGGTCAGCTATTGTAATAAATCTAGCAAATACAATCAACTACAGATCCTGATTGTAGAGATAGGTTCATTTAATGGTGCTCGTGAGAATGTACACTGTTCTAACCACTATGGAAATAGATGTTGAGGTTTAAAAAAAACTGCAATAGGTGGGTGGGGAGATGGCTTATTGGTTAACAGCATTTGTGATACCTACAGAGGATCCATGTTCAGTTTCTAGTTCCTAGAACATACATTGTGGCTCACAACCATCTTTAATTCCATTTATTAGAGGATTCCCATATTCTATTCTTATGTCCATGAGGACCAGGCATGCACATAGCTCATATATCTATACATGTACACACACACACACACACACAACACATACACACATACACAAGTATGTGTTTATCAGTATAAATGGATAGATAGATACATATATATATGCAAAGCACTCATATTCATAGAATAAAATAAATAAATCTTTTTGAATTATTTATAAAGTCTGCAAATAGAATTAACTTATATGAGCTATACTCCATATATGCCACTTAATTATGTACAACAAATGACTCCAGTAGTGCATACACACCTATATTTACTGCATCGCTTATAATAGACAACTTGTGAGTACATAAGTGGGTAGGGAAATGTGGTATGTAATTTTATTTAAACATAAAGAAGAAAAATTGCATTATTTGCTGGAAAACAAGTGCAGTCATTAGTTACATAAAATGAAATAAGACAAATTTAGAAATATGGATATCACATGTTTGCTGTAGAAGAGAAGAATGAGGAAAGGAAAATGAAGGGAAGGGAAGGGGAGTATGTAAAATGTGATTATTAAATTATCAAATTTTTAAACCTGGATCTAAATGTCATGACTATATATCAATTTTAAAAATAAATTAACTACATCAATATGTGATGCGCATACATCTGTAAAAATTATATCTTCTTGATTAACTACCTGTTCCCTTTATCAATATATAGTATGTTATATATTTTAACAGAGACAGACATTCCTAAATTTTGCTTAAATCTACCTTGTCAAATATAAGTCTTCCTGATGTCATGGTTTACTTTCTATGACTGTGATAAACACCATGACCAAAAGCAAATTGTGAGGAAAAGATTGATGTGCCTTACACTTCAGGGCACAGTCCATCATTAGGGGAAGTCTGGGCAAGAACTGAAGTAGAGGTAAGAACATAAAGAAAAGTTGATTATTAGATTGTTCTCCATGGCTTTATCAGTTTGTTTTCTCATTGAACCTGGACCAGCTGACCAGTCTTGTCACATCTTACCAGTGGGAGAAGTTCTCCCACATTCATCATTTCCTCTCTCCAACATTAATCATCAGTTTAAAAAAAATGTCTAACAGATATGTCCATATTCTAACCTGAAGGAGGTAATTCCTCAGCTGATATTCTTTCTTCCCAGATCTGTGTAGTTTTTGTAAAGTTGACATAAAAACAAACCAACATACCTGAGTTTTTATTGTTTCTACTCTTTAGACCCATAGTTTTACCATCCTTCAGTGAGAACCCTGGCATTTCATGTGTCCTGGGAGTTTAGACAGACTGAAGCACTGAGTTTGAACTAACTTTGTGTTAGTTCCCTAGAAATCCTATGTCTGAACCTTGTGGAGGGGAGAGAAAAGTTTGTCTTTACCTCTTCTCCTTCAGTCAGAGAGAGTGCCCTTCATTCTTTTCGCCAACTTCATACTAATTTATACCTATCCTACTTTTCACGCAGTTCATATCTGTCTCATCAAACTGCCCTAAACTTACCAATTCAAGGAGATAGTATTAGAGATGTCTTGCATTCACCATTCCTAATAATGCTGGTCCAAACACTCTGCATACTTGATATGTAAAATGTGTGGCTTTCTATTTCAGATGAAATGTTTTCTTGGAATTTTATTTGGAATATGATTGTTGGTGTAATTCTGACTATGATGACACTCTTCATCATAATGCCTAGTACTAAACTACAAATCCTAGAAGGTAAGTAAGTTTTCAGGATGAGAGATGCAAAGAAGAAAGGTAGCTAATGCTGAATGACAATCCAGAAGCTTATCTGGAAGGATATTATAAATGTATGGATCATACATTAGACACATATATCTTTATCTTTATCTTGGTCTATAATTATCTTTAAAAGCCTGTGCTTCATTTGCATTAGTATAGATGAAACTTCCTTTCGCTGTAGTGATAGATACAGAAAAAATTGAAAAGTTATTTAATACTCAATATCCAACATCTGTACATCCTTCTTTCTTGACTTTTAAATTCCAATGAGCTTATTGAGGGTGGAAAGTAAAGTCCTAAACTGTGCATTGCAGAAATGCCTGCAAAAGATTCCTTCAGTGAAACACAAGGAAAACTGAACCTATAGAAAGAAGTATGCCAGTTGAACTATATAGGTTTTCTTTTCCTATCTGGAAAAATGCCATTCGTAGCCAGAGCTATATTGAGAGGAAGTGGACCTGGAGGATAATTAGAAAATTTTAAACACAAGTATAAACTTGTTTAGGGTTTAAGAGTGTGTTAATTTTAGTAATGAACTGACACATTGACTCATACGTAGCTCTAGCTTTCCAGTGCATATTCAAGGCCCCCGAGGTTCATTTATAGCTTATTCATTAGTTAAGGATTTGGGTGTTGGCACTTCTGAGTTTCTTTGCTACTCATTTTCTTCCCTTTTCATTTTCAGTTGCTTTTCTGCCCTGAACTCGATTGTCTGAGCTAAAACTGATCCTATTCTCCAAAACTGTATCTGACCCACGTAGCAGAAATCACAAACTCACTATGTTTATTCTTGTTGATTGATGTTTGGCAAAAACAAACACATATTTAGCTTTTTCACTTCATGATACCACCTACATTTTTACACAAATGGAGTTTTTGTTGCTGTTTCTCTTCATCATAGTTGAACATATAATTGAACTGCATAATTGAACGTATTTCCTTCTTCAAAATATCAGTACCCTCTTGTAGTCAGAACTTTTCTAAATAGGCATTTGCCCACCAAATCCCCTCCAATTATTAAGTCTTTATCTATGATGCATCTTTAGCTGGTAACATTATTTATCTTATCTTCAAGTGCTTCTAGATTATTCTAAAGGAAGCAGAGTTGATTTAATAGTAGAAATTATTGTATCATCATAAGATGCTAGCAATTAATGGGACTTCACTCTGACAAACCTTAATCCAAAAGCTTTATAATTAATAAGGCTTATAATCTAAGTTGTATATATTTAATTAACTATTATTAATAAAGAATTACCAATCAAAATTATGAACATAAAAATTAAATACTAAACCTAAATCATACAGACACTAATAATAGGATAAAATACTTATAAATCATACAAATACACTTGTCATACCACCAATGGCTTTTATTTCCCAGCATCCAGAAAAGGAATTGCTACCGCTAGGAAAGCTACCAGTCTTGAAGAAGCTTTCAGTTCAATTTCATCTCTCTTTTTTCTCTTTGTCTTGCGGTGAAAGTGTGTGGCCTATTCAGTAATAGTATTTCACTACCAGGTTCTGGTGAGAACTCAAGAGCAATCACTATAGTTTATATAGTTTTGAGAGGCTCTGAGGTCTCTCTGACAAGCAGCACAGAGAGATACCCCATATATACATAAGTATTTCCCTTAATAACCTACACAGAATGGGTATTGCATTATCCATCTGTGCAGAATACCATCATTCAAACTATTTTAAAATTGCTTTTATTTATCTTCCAAAATATGTTACTATATGATTTTTAAGAACATCATTACTATTGATTAATCTTCCCTGTACGCCCTTATTTTCATCAATCTCCAATCAGCAACCAGCTTAAATTTTTCACCTACAGTATTCCTCACTACTACTTACATATCATATTAGTTACACTATTCCTACTCTCTGAAGCTCTTGTCACACACATACAGACACACAACATGGGGGTGGGGAGAGAGAGGGAGGCAGGGAGGGAGGGAGGGAGAGAGAGAGAGAGAGAGAGAGAGAGAATGAGAGAGATCACCACAGAAACTTCTAAGTAAAACATACAAATCACAAAAGTCAAGATGGCTCAGTAGATAGAGGTGCTTTTTGGTCTGAGTTTCATCCCCAACACCCATATGATAGAAAGACAAATTAACCCTTAGAAGTTGTCACCTGATTTCCACCTGCACAAGAGCACACACACACACACACACACACACACACACACACACTCACTTACACTCACACAAATAAAAAAAAATTTTTCAGCATAGGATACTCATAAGAGAGACAACATATGCCATTTGTCTTTCTGTCCCTGTCTTACCACACTCAATATAAACTTTCTAGTGACATCCATATGCTACAATTTTTATACTTTTATGCTGAAGAAAAGTCCTTTGTGTATATGTACCACATGTTATTATCAGTTGATTAACGTCCAAGCTAATTTCATGTCTCAGCTATTAGAATAGCAACAAGCATATATTTACAAGTATCTCTGTAGCACAATAGTCTTTTAGGTGTTCATGAATGATAGATATGAATAATACGGTAATTCTTTTAGTTTTCTGAGAAAACGTTACATTCATTTTCATAGTGGCTGCATCAGTTTACATTCCTGCTAACAGTGAATTAAGAGTCACTCTTTCTCAAAATCAATGTCACCATTTGTTGTCAATTCTTTTTTTTAATGATAGACACACTAAGATGAGATAGAATCTCAATGTGGTTTTAGTTTAATTTCAGCGAAATGAATCATTCCTGCATCTCTGGTGTGGTGCCAAGTTGATAATGAATGTCTTTTCGTTGTGTTCATAAATTCTGCTTCCAAGACATTACTGAGAATTTTGACACCTCTAGTCATCAAAGAAACAACGTAATATTTCACAAATGACAATTACAACCATGAACATTATATTCTGCTGTCTAATTAGCCCACTGATGGATGGGTGAGAGAAAGACAAATCTGATTTGTCTTCTCTAAATATGTTTGTTCTCAACCTGAGACCATCCCCATCCTATAGTCAGCTGTGTTTTTCATTCCTGTAACCAACAGTTTTCTGATCTTTTACTTCTTGACCTTAGCACTGTTTGAAATACATACAGAAAGATGACATTAAATGTAGAACTTGTCTTTTTTTTCTTAATTCAACGTTTCTACTAACTGTTGGTGAATTTGTACAAGAGTGTTGCAGTTTCTCTCGTAATGCAGCAAGCTCCCAAACAATTGAGACTGGACTATTATATTTATTTAACAAGCTTTAAGGGCACAACAACTTAGCAGTATTACTCTAATACTCTCAGCTAATCTGGCTACCTCTCAGCCAAAATCCCAGTGATACTTTCATTGTAGTACTGATGTAGCCCTCAGGCCTCCAAGTATTTTCTCATGGTATCTCTTGGACTCTCTCCCATGGAGAATCTTCACTTCTCTCTCCTTCCCCCTCTCCTGACTGGGAGGAAGTCCAGCCCTCTTCTCCCCATTGCTCGCTCATTGGCTGATCAGCTAGCCTTATTGACCAATCAGGAAATAATTGGGGAGTCATGTTTACATAACATTGGGACAGGAAATTCTTAGAATCAAGATTGTAATCAGATATGGGGGTACAGACACTAGCATTTGAATAATACATTATGCCTGCAACCAACCAATAATCAGTGATTTTAACACTTTGTTTCTTTAGGTTGCTCCTACAAATTCAGCTCTCCTTGGATTGTGGCCATGTTTCTAATAATTTTTTCAATTATTGTGCCCAGATTACTCATCTTGTATTTGTACAAAAAAAGAGAGAGAGGTATGTGATATAAAGAAGATGTTATCTTTTAATGTCTTTTTTCCCCCAAATGCCCAGTCACAGCTTAATGAACATAGAATGGCAGCAGCTTAAATTTCAGGAAAAATAGACCCTTGGAAAACATCGTGACATTTAGATTCCAACCTCTGGGACTGTTTGGATTTAATGATATAAAGTGATGATGTGTTTGCCACCAAACAGGTTTTTCAGTTTGACTTCATCACTACCTAATGAGTTAAGTTGAGTACTTCATGTCTTTAGGCTAAATTAAATAATAATTGATAACTCTTAAATATCTTAGGTCACAGATTTCTGTTTGTAATTGATGCAAAAAAAAATGATCTGCTTGTCAAAATTATCCACATCTACACATAATTTTTTCTCAGTTTATTGATGGACATAAACACTTATAATATATTCTTTTCTTTCTCTTTGAATAGGAAATTGAAATGGTAAATTGGGAAAGTTTTGGGATAGCTGAATGTAGCATATTTAAAATGTTTTCTACTTTACTTCTAATCAGTGAGATAAAGTAATTAATTAAAGTAAATTCAACTGTACATTAATAGTCCCAATGTAGAAGTCTGAAATTAGAGATTTTTTACAATGGTTTTCTGTTATGAATTGAAGACACAAAACACCTTTAAAAATTAAGATGAAATTTATTTGCAATTATCATACACTGTGGCCTGCTATGTTCACATAAACGTTTAAGACATCATGATAACAAGTTAGTCATAAAAGAACAAACATTCTACCATACTACCTATGCAAGGCCTTTCTATGTCAAATCTGTGCAAGGGTAAAATAAAGTCGTGGTTGCTTGAGAGATAAAAATCCATTCTGGAAATAGCTATTACTAGCACTTACACAAAAATATGAACACATTCACTATTCAAATAAAGAAGTAAAAAAATAACTAGCATAGTAAAATTTATGTATGTACATTTTACAAAAATAAATAAATTTGAGGTTAACCTATTATAAAATTAAAAGAAGTAATTGACTCTAAAAAAGATTTTAGAACAACTTTTAGAGCAAATATTAACACATAATTTCAATGTGGAATGCTTCTCTAATTTTCACAAGAAAGCTAGGATTAAGCAATTGTTATCATTTCTACTGTTTTTATCAAGGACTTGTATATTTACATAGCTAAATAGAAGTTAGATGCATGTTGCATACTAACAATATGCAAAATGCTATCGTGGACATAAAGATACATGTATTTCTTCTAGACTCTGGTTTTAATTCGTAGTAGGTGTACACTAAGAAGAGGAGCATCAGAATCCTATGATACCTCTATTTGCACACATTTACTGAATTGTTTTTCAATTTTCTAGTGTTCATTTAACATTCCCACCAAGCATATGTAAGAGTCTATGTCCTGGCCAACATCAGATCATTTTTATATATAAGACTCCAAATGGGCAATAACTCATTACAGGTTTTTTTTCCTAGTAATATTGAGTGTTTTGAGTGAGTTTTGTGTGTTCATACATCCTTTTTGAAGAAAGTTTAAGTCATTTTCTAATATTTAGATAATGTTTGGTTTGACTGTTAGTGTCAGAAACTCTCTGTTTTATCAACAGATAATCACTGTTATTCTTTCTGCAGGTTGCCCTTTTCTTTGTCAAGAATGCCTTTAAATGTGCAGCTTAAAAAAATGCAGTCCAATTTTTCTTCCATTTCTTTTGTTGTCTGTGTCTTTGATATTGTATCTAAGAAATCAATGCCAAAGTAAATGTAAAACATTTTTCCTTTGTTTGCCTCTAAGGGATATAATAGTCAGACAATTTGGGCATTATGTTATTTATGTATGGACACATATGGATAGCCAATTTTCCTGAACTGTTTCTTGAAATGATTATGTATTACCCAGTAAAAGATATTGGTACCCTTAACAAAAGTAATTATTATTCTATGAGATACAGACTCTCTGAGACATTCCACTGGCCCCTATGTTTATCCTCGTGTTAGTACCACAATATTAAACACTTTGGTGTGATGAATTGATACAAAAGGGTAGCAGACTTAAGATCCATGGGTATTATTTCAATTGGGGGACAGTGTGCTGTTAAGATGAAGATTTTTTTAACAGAAGGACTTGATTCTGTTTGTTTACATTCCTGTGATATAAAGTGGTCAGAACACACTTGTTTCCCTTCCTTCCTTCCTTCCTTCCTTCCTTCCTTCCTTCCTTCCTTCCTT